AATCAGTCTACTCGCAATAAGAAATATCATTAAGGAAGAACTTGGATATTGTCCTGCAGAACTTGCATTTGGTACAACTCTTAGGCTGATTTTCAACTCCCATGACGAAGGAAATAGAGACTTCCTGTCGTATTCCACCCTGCTTAAAGACCATTTCAGATATATCCGCCTAGTATTTATTTATTTCAAATGGCAGGCGTTTTGATAGATATCATTAGCCATTTAGCTGGCTTCGGGCTTCACAGAGGGAAGGTTCATCAAAGTAGCAGAAAGTCGAGGGGTGGGGAAGAGAAGAGCGATTCACAGATGTAAAAGAGGCAGACAGAGACAAAGGTAGAGAAAAAGGTAAGGTGCGTACTGTGGAAGGGGTCGAATATGACAACCAGTGGGGTCGTGGTAGTTTGAAGTCAGAAGTTAAATGCCGGTTAATAGACTTTTTTGCTGTATGAATATACGTTGTCCAGGGTGCACCACGTGGAGGTAAGTCTATCACGCACTCCATCCGCCTAATATCCACCCGGTTGAATGAGAAGCCAAAACGAATTCATAGACTTATCAACATGCCCCTTTGATTATGTTCGAGTATATGTGGTGAAGAAACCTTTGCACTCAACTTATAACGGACCTTTCAAAGTCCATAAACACACATCCAAATACTTCATTCTTGATCGCAACGGTAACAATAGGTTAAATCCGGCATGTTTACACCTTCATTTTGCATACCCCCACGAATAACGCCAACCCCGCCTACTCTAGCCTTTCCCCTGTTGCATCTGTACCCGTTGCTAAAAAGCGTTCCATCCTCGAAGGCTGCTATGCACACTTCTAATCTTCGATTAGAGGCCTTGACCACAGATACTGCTACTCCTAGCATGCCAAAATCTTGCTTATCTCGACCCAAAGTTTTTCGAAGTCATTGTGGATGAAGGGTTACTTTCCCTCCGACTTACCAATTATGTACTGTAATTACTTATTGGTAGTTTTCATTACATTTTAGCAACCTAAAACGCTCTAGAGGATGAATATTGAGGGGAGCGCAACACTAACATGGTCTGGTCTCCTACACCAAAGCATTCTTGAAGGAGCGGTGTGCCACTCATCCCGCAGGGAGGGTGTGAAATCTCGAACGCAGAGATATCTCACTGTATGGTCAACGTAGCCGAAATTGTATTTAATGACTTAGCTCCGTGTCATTACACACAGCCCAAATAAATGTACTCCACACCAAGATCTGTTCCCCCCTATATCCAAACTAAGCGATCTTATTATGGAAATTACGGGGTGCGTGATAGACTTACCTCCATGTGGTGCACCCTGGGCAACGTATTCTCAAGCAGCAAAAAAGTCTTTTAGCCGGCAGTTGACTTCTCACTTCAAATTACCAGCATCCCACTATATGTCATATTTGACTACTTCCACAGTATTCACCTCACCTTTCATCTACCTTTGTGTCTGTCTCCTTTACATCTTTGAAACACTCTTCTCTTCCCTCCCATCCCCTCTCGACTTTTTTCCATTCGATGTTCCTTCCCCTCTGTGAAGCCTGAAGTCAACTTAAGGGCTAATGATAACTATCAAAACGCCTAACATTTGATATAAATAAATAAACTATGGAAATTACTGAGCATAGGCCAAGGCTTATTCGTGCCGCAATCCGCTAGAGAAGCGTTGAGAGATTTTAAAAGACAATTTTGGATGCCTCTGCTTGACCACCTATAAGGAATAGGGGTTTTGGTAGATTGTCAATTTTTCCCGTTGGTAAATTCCCCATTCAAGTTATCGAAGCCTTTCAATAAGTTGCAACACTCTGAATGTCCGATCTAGATGATTGTTTACTTGGTGTTAATCTGAGGTGGGTTTTAATCCCAGTTTATTATTAGGCGTTCGCTAGGGTTTCCTATCGTAGACTTGGATTAAATAGATGATGAGAACTCTGGCTAGACCTAAGTTCATTTAACTTTGTACAAGTCCGAGTATTTACACTCATAATCCGGTAATTATATGGCCTAGACTTCTTGCACTTACCGTATACAACCAACCCCTATGCAAATTCCTTATTTTCTGCCTCGGGAATCCTAACTGCCCCCAATAATCATTTGATTTTGTGCTAAAGACCGGGATAAGCATTCCAATTATCGGATGATCAAATTTTATTGGTTGTCTGGAATGTGAAATCAATAAACTCCCTTACCGAAATTGAATTCGCTCAGTTCCAGCGTTTTGCTTTTGATAACTCGAACGGGCATACAAATCAGCACCACTGTCATGACAACTGCAGTTTTTGGACAATAAATTAGAAAAAAATCATTTATTACACGACCTTTTGAAATCTCACCTACCATTACCCCTCAATTAGCAAGCACACCAAGTAGATTAATAAATCAACAGGAGTTCGGTTAGATGGAAAAAAATCTGGATGCTGAATCCTACGAAGAATTCAATTCTGTTTCTCGTCTTATCAAACAACAAGGGAACTGAGGGGTGGAGGGAGGCAAGAGAAAGGCGCTGGTAGATTGATCAATACAAACTTAAAGATGGCCCAGAAAGTGGCAAACTCCTTTGCCCATTAGACGAGTACAGTCAAAACTTAGGCAAAAGCAAAAAAGGTCCTCATCCAAATAAAAAATGGCGAGGGGAACAAGGCAGCTCGAGTTTAGGGGTCTATGGACCAAATGACACTGAACCCTAAATGAAGCTGAGCCCCCTGAATCTTAACCCCGCTGTCTGAATGCTTCAGTTGGAAATTGGCCTGTCTTCTCTTACCTATGTCTTGAATTTTTCTCCTCATGATTAAAGGCTGTAATAAGACAATTTGGCTTTGCTATGAAAAATAATAGCTCCTACAAGCAAAGTAAGACTTTGAAATCTCACACAAGAAAATAAACACAAGGTCAACACAGATTAATATATTACTTTGATTATTTAAACCGGTGAGAAAGGAGGGGATCCAATTAGCATACACATACAGGCACACCAGAGGTTTTAAACAATGGCAATAATATTTACAGAATAAGAAACACAGAGGACATTATCAGCGGCGATAACGCTGAGAATGATGACTTCTGATGCCACCTCCTTCCCGATAATCGATATCTTCATCTCTGCGATATACACGCGACCTTGAGCGTCCATGGTCGCCGCCACCACTTCTTCGGTGGTGTTCGTAGTACCGGTCTTCCTCTTCGTTTTGATACACTATGTCATCCTCGTAGCGAGAACGTCGAAGATCGCTATAGGAACGTTGACGACTATCTCCTCTCTCTCGACTACGCCTGTCTGCATGTCTACGACGATAGTGACGATCTTCAGTGGAAGAGGATGAACGACTTCTTGAATCGTGTTCTCTTTCATAATCGCGGTGGTAGAGCTCGCCGGAATAACGTAGGGAGCTTACTGAAGGTTGCGGCAATGGTGGCCCGGTGGTATTGCGAAGGAATGCGTTCACTTGTTCATCAAACTGAAAACAAAGATGCATTTGATAATGAACAATGGCTAGATACATTTCAAGTTACATTTGAACAATTTCGTGGAGTGGTTGTGGTGAACATAATGGATTCCCCTTGCATTTACTCACTTACTTAAATTCGTCAGTAGACTCCCATTCTTGGCATATAACAAACTTTGGTTTTTCATTGATAGTTAACATTGGCCATTCAAATATTAAAACTATCATTCACTCTATGCTTTCCCCTCTTTGAACTATAAACGAGCATGTCTAGGAAAATCCATCTTTGATAATTAGATTTCTTCTTAAATCTTCTCAAAAGGGAACTCGAGAACGCAGTTCCATTTGCACTAAAACTGAATATGCGTATTTGATTCATTGGTGAGCTTGCTTAAACGCAATCCTCTTTATCCATTTTTCTCAAGTCTGTAACGTTAATAGTACTCTAATAGACCTACCAATAGGTTCATCCAAGTAAAATCAAATGCTATAATACCGTTAGATATTCAATTATTGCTTTTCACGGGAAGTCGCGGTGGTAGAAAGCGAATTTCCCGTAAGAGCGGCTTCAGAACACCTCCCATTTACCCGATTCATGTGCAATGAACAATTATAATAGCACGCTGGGAGATTTTATATTTCCCTAAGTAGATTTGATTTTAGGAAATTTACCATACTTAAAAAGGACCAATGACTCACTTGCCTATCTGCGTCTGATGTTCCATGTGGAGGTGGTAGTTGAACGCCTCCATTGATCTAGACGTTGAAAGGGCAAAATAAATTATTATTGCTAGTTTAATGAGCTGCAGGCAAGCCATCTAGATAGGGGGGGGGGGGGGGGGGGGAGGCATAGAGCTTACAAGAGAGCTGAGATTTGGATTCATCCCACGCTGTACCTCTTTGAGATAATCTTCATAGTTCTACACAAAACATCAAAACAAAAAATACGCTTAATTAGAATAATTGAGGTGGAAAATCATGATCGTGTGGGAAGTAATTTTCAATACCAAACAATGACATGTAAGTTGACCTAAAAGTTCACCACCCTTCTTTAATGACGCGAAGAAAACGCACTCACAACATTTCATGCGTAATCTATTTACTTTTCTTTCGAATATTTAGTGAATACATACATCGCGGAGAATGTATCACATAAATATAATATTATGGATTTGATTACAACTATGGAGATAAGCTAACCAAAGCCAACACTCATAACATTAAATAGAGAGCAAACAATATTGCGACCCGGGGTGTGCGATAGACTTACCTCCACGTGGTGCACCCTGGGCAACGTATATTCATATGGCAAAAAAGTCTGTTAACTGGCAGCTGACTTCTCAATTCAAACTACCATCACCTTACTCTATGCCATATTCGACTATTTCCACAGTACACACCTCACCTTTTTTCTACCTTTGTGTCTGTTTCTTTTACAACTTTGAAGAACTCTTCCCTTCCCTCCCCCCTTTCGACTTTTTTCACTTTGAAGTCAACTAAAGGGCTAATAATAACCATCAAGACGCCTGCCATTTGATATAAATAAATAAAAATATTGCGACCCACTGAACATCATGCTATTGAAGAATTTGAAGCAAGACATACTAACAACTTTGGCTGCCAGTATGGAATTACAGAGGCCACAACAAGGGAAAAGTGGTCATTGGCTCGATATAGGACACATCAAAACCAAGTGAACGTGCGTTATTATCTTTATGCAAGGTAGCTTTTTCTCACCTTGGTATTTTTTAACGCTTCCTAGTATTTCACGTTAAAGACCTTTATGAACCTTCATACTTAAGTAGTAGCGTGCTTAGTGGCTTATATTTCAAAATAGATAAAAGCACACAAACACATTTATGATGACCTTCAGAGACAATAAGTCACCACCTTTGGATATTTGGACATTTTGGGGCCAACAGTAAAGCGACTCCAAGAAGGAACGATAGTCAGTCCGTTCCTTAGAATGATGAGAAAATCTAAGTGGCTAGGCACCTAATCAATGTTTGCTAATTCATTTTAAATACTTAGTTGTCACATATCTGAACAGTAAATAATTCCGCCTTAATTCGTGACAGACAGCACTAGTAAATCATTATGTACAATAAAAAAAAACTATTCTCAACGTAGGACACACCAAAAGTGATATGAAAACCAAGGACAAATTGCTGAATGACCATTACTTACCCAATGAAGGAAGGGATTTTCTCTTGAGGGTGAACTTGACCTATCACGACTTCTGTATTCCCGACGATCTAAAGGTCATAAAGAACCCCGTTGATACAAAGTTTTAAAGTAAAAGCAAGTCCGCCGTTCCTGGTAATACTACTCACCCTCTGCGTAATGACGTCCCCTGGAATCCTCTCTTGAGTACCTATCAAATTGTTAGTAGAAGATAAAAAACTATATTATCAATCGCCATGGGAGGGAGGGAGGGTGGAAATCTTCGATCCAAGGGTTCATTTTCACCCGTTGGAAATTAGGTAAAAACCAGGAGGAAAGTAAACAATCTTTTAATCATATGATCAATAATAATAAGCAGATCAATTACGATAATGTTATTAAAAATTATAAAACAATAATGATGTTGAAAGTGAGATACGCTGTCCTTTGTTATAATCAAGCCAAGTGTCATAAACATGTATAACAACAGCAAATTTTGGGAAAAAATGTTCGAGTTGAAAACAGTGGCAGTACACACGCAGCAACAACGGCAACACAGGTGGTGGTGAAATGATAACTACTACCAAACATCAAGCGGCCGCTAGAGCTTATAAAATTGGCAATCATAATGATCAAAATAATGTCCGTAAAAAGCATAATAATAATAAATACAAAGCACAAAAAGGCAAATAAAGTCAAGATCAAAGACAGAGAAGTGTCCTGTTATAATGGGCATCGGCGCGACCTAACCTCGATCGAAAGTCACGATAGTGGTCATCCTCCCCCCTCTCATCTGCATAACGTCGTCGCCTGTGGTCCCGACGATATCGATCTGATGACTCTCTACTACTGCTCCTTGATCGATAACGCCTTTCCCTACTGCTGGGTGGACGCTGCCGCTGTTGGTTTACATCTTGTGGGTTGAAAATTCTGTTAATGGCTGGTGCATGTGTAGTGAGGAGAGTTGACAAAGCTGACGGATCAGTTCCTGTAGGCTGTGAAATAAGGTTAGGCAAAACTGCAGGGGCAGAAAATTGCGAGATATCAATCACAGGATTGGTCGTTTGAAGAAGGGACCTCCTAGGTTGATTATTGGATTTCAGTGCTGCCATAGCAGCCACAGCTGAAGAGAGATCGATAGAAGACATCAAAGGAGGCACAGTTGGTCGAGACGTAGCATTTCCAAGAAGACCAACTGAGTTAGGATTGTGGAATCCTAAGTCCTTTGCACGGCGGATTCGATCCGTAGTAGTTCCGATTCGATCAGTAAGATTTCTGCGACGATTGCCATCAGCCGATTTGGGATTTTTCGGCACAATTTTCTTGACGATTTCTGAAATCAACTCAGGGGAATCCAAGGGAAAGCTTCGACATAAAGCTTGACCACAAACGGGCTCAATTTCCTATGTGAAAATTATAATCTGCAAATTTGTTAACATACTTGACCATCGCGACCAATTTTAACGGGTTTTCCTTCATTCCACGAGTTCGTCAGATGGGCAACATTATTGAAAGGCAATTCATGTCTGAAGGCAATTACATACATTAAAAACGAGTAACTCACTTAATAATCCAATCTAGTCTAAAAGGATGTGAGAGCATATCTGGATTCATCCTTGGAGGAAGAACCCAATTGATCTTTAACCGAGAATCAGGTGGAGAAGCAATCCTAGCAAAACCTTGAAATTTACCGCTCTCTCGAACCGAAAAAATAAGAATAACATTATTCGATTCATCAAATGCTTTATTAAGGCGATGCTCATTTCCAACTGGTGTTGACCACGCATTATTCTCTTTAGCTATGACAACATTTTCATAGTTATTGCTCTTAATGAGGAAGTATTTGGTATTGATAAAGAGCTGATCGAAATTGTTAAGAACATCAGGATCCATGATTTCTGATGATGGAGAGACATTACTTTCGTTTGTTGTTTTAATTTCTCTTGGTTTAGCTTCCTCTGAACGCTCCTCCTCATCTTCCTGTGAGAAATCGTTTTCTGGTGTATCAATGCGGACGGTATCAATGTCAGTATTTCCTTCCCATACGACTGGGAGATTTTTCTTTTCGGTCGCTTCCTCTGCTTCACTGTTTGCATCTAGTTTTATTATGTTCTGTTCAGAATCACTATCTATTGGAGAAATCATTTCACTTCCATCAAGAATTTGAAGATCTGCTCCATGTTTCCTCATTTCATCGTTATCGGATTCTTTAAATTCTGTTAGGTTCTCTTCTTTTACATTAAAACTGTCTGTGGATAAAAGGTTATCATTATACTTAATACATACCCAGATTCCCACATCCCAGATCTGCGTCCGACATCCCTATAGGAAATTTCAAATCTGCTGGCCAACAGGAACAAAAAAGCACTAACACTCTCTGACCACAATTCTTATCTATCCTGGAACTTTTAATATCTCTTAATTGCATACAATCATGTTATTTTTATTATGCAATCAAAAATAATTCCGGAAGTTTACTTTTAAATCAATGTTATATATTTTACTACTATTTGCAAACTTTATACCTTTATTCGTGGTAATAAACATGTTATTTTCAAAATATATCTTGAGTATATTCTTGCCTTTCAAATATATAAGAAGTCGTTTAAATGTATCTTTAGTCATAAACCATATATTCATATACCTATTATTTGAAATTTATGAATGATTTACGTGCATGGATAAAATTTTGGAGCTTGGCTGATATGGTTTGATTATTTCTTGATGATTAAGATAGTGTATAAATGACAAAGGATCATTTAAATGGTAGTATTGCTCAAAACTTCATTATTCTAATTTTCAGCTTCAAGTTGAAAACCTAGTTATCTGTTTTGGTTTTTAAATCTTCAAGATGAGAGTTGGCTTATTTGTTCCCATTAATTTAGCTATAGTAAAATGCATTGTTCATTGGCTAGGGTTTTGATATATAAATACTTCAAATCAATTGACGAAAACTGTCGTCATAAGTTTTAACGTTATTTCTCTTGGATTTAATTTAATGGAAATATTTCTTTCATACTTTAATCCAAATCAATAACTTGTAATCTTGCCATTCTTGAAGTTGACAGAGGTTAGTGTCTTTCCATGTCTTTGCATTATATGTTCCTTGCAGTTCTATGGAAATGGAGATATATCATTTTGTTATATTCATTAGAATAACAGTCCGAAAAAAATGGATATCAGGCGTCGAAAAATTATTACTAATATATGCATATATAGGCGATTGGAATCGATTGATAGGAGTGCAGAAGATTGTGAAGATGTAGAAAATATTAAACAGCTCAATATGATACTGTTGAATTTTGTTTGTGACCACTTAGTTTTGCTGGTATGAAATATCATTGACAGGCAATTGCAAAACAAAATTAGTATTAAACAAAACCTGTCTAACATTAACCTTTTATTTAACAGGTTACTTTTGAGAGTTCCACTTCTTCTCTTTTAGTCATCACATAAACAACATTGTTGAAGTCATTATATTATACATATATATTTCAACGAATAATGGTCGCGTGCTCCATCACTGCATTTCAATGTTAGTATTTACTTCTCCAATTTGTAGTTAATTACCCAAATTAGGCCATCTGCTGAGACATATTTCGACAACCATGTTCTCACTACTCCGAGCAAGTAAAACACCTATGGCACTAACATGTTCAATATATATTATTGTAGTTTTCTTTGAAAATCCAATATATGAGAAGAATGAAAATAGAAGAATTAATAGAAAGAGAGGTTTTAATTTTAAACGAATTAATTCAAATTTGCGTTTTCAAATTTATATTTTGCTAGATTCACCAGAATAAAGATTTACAATTATGATTTATAATGATTCCGATCTCATTAGCAACTTTCTTTGTGCGGTTAAATATGAACGAGAACATAAAACGGTAGAATCGAGGCCTCTCAAAATTTCCGAACAATATTAAGTTTATTTACAAATAGTACTTTAGATAATGACTATTGATTTCAATATCGACTTGTTAATGTGTAAATCTAAGTAAGGATCAGCGAGCGTTAATTGGTACCGAGTTTAAATATGAACCATGAATAGTGAAATATAATAAGACCTATTTTCATATTTGGATTACTATGCCAGTTGATTAAAATTGAATAGTACGTGAGAGTATCGGTTTGGGTCTAATATACAGTTATTTTCAGGAGAGACCCATACTAATATAAGAACATTTAATGAATCGGAAGTTCAAATCCCAGCGGCTTTACTTACTCTAAATGTTTATTCAAAAAAAAAATTTTTCCAGTAACGGTATTGCACACAATTAGTAGATATTCTCTTTCATTTTGAATAAATGAAACTCTGCTATATAAATCATCGCTAAATATTTAGTGCAGTAAACCCTTTGTGGATTTTGAAGGAAGTTAAAGTGACGACAAATTGGATTATAACTAGGTGCTGCAACGCGGTCTTTACAATTGCTACCATGGGGTGTGGGACAGACTAAACACTTCGTGGAGCACCCTGGGCATCGTATAATCACGTGGCAAAAAAAGTCTATTTACCGGCAGTTGACTTCTCACTTAAAACTATCATCACCCCACTGTGTGTCATATTCGTCCCATACCACAGTACTTACCTTACCGTTTCTGAGCCACTGTGTCTGTTTGTTTATTTTAAATCTGTGAATCACTCTACTATTTCTCTTCCCGAATTCTTCTCACTTTGATGTTCCTCCTCAATTCTGTGAAACCCGAAGTCAACTAAAGTGTTAATGATAACTATCATAACGCCTGCCATTTGTTAAAAATACATATAATTCCTACCATTTATATCGATAAAGTACTGCAATTGTTTTATTCTAAAATAAAATTAAAAATCTATATACAAACTAAATTTACTAATTTTATTTTAATTATATCTTGTTGGATTAAGACAAACAATATATTAAATAAATATTAATTTTCTTTAAGTCTGTCAAAGGGGCGCTTGCGATTGGCGGATATTTCGGTTCTTGCTCTTGAGATGGAGGAACTAAGGTTGCAGATAGCCAATAATAGGCTTCAGCTCCAGCAAGTTGAAGCATCATTGGAGCTAGATAAAGACAACGAAGAGCTTAAGAAGCTACAGGAAGATTTGAAGGAAGTCATCCGTCTCACACAGGAACTTCTGGGTGAAGATACAACTACTAACGAAAGTACCTGGAAAGTCGGAGATACATGCATGGCTAGATGCACACGCGACAAACTCTTCTATAAAGCAAGCATTCTAGAAATTCTTGCTAACGGTTCTTGCGTAGTTAACTTCCTCGATTATGATACAACAGATATCTGCCAGGTAATTAGATTTGTGAAAGCGTGTATCTTGCTCACTTTATAAAAATTTGTGTGTTTTACCTTTCTTTTTGGTGGCGAAGTCGATGTTTTACTGAGATATTTAAGATTTCTATGTCACCAATAAGGTATCTGTATTTTCTGTTTGTTAATGTTAGCTTTCTAATGTTGGAATTTTATTTCATTCTAGATTGCACATCTCAAACCGTTAGATTCTAACCTAGCTCCGGTGCAACTGACGAAAAAGGAAACAAAGAACCGAAAAATCGAAAAGAAAAAACTCAAGAAACAGAAACTTGTGGAGCGTCATGCCGAAATCGAAAAGGCTATCGAAACTGAGAAGAATGAATGGCTGAACTTCAGTAAGAAGTACAACAACAAACATAAGACAAAGAGGAGCATATTCGCTTCTCCTGAAAATGTGGATGGTAAAGTCGGGGTTGGAACCTGTGGAATTTCGGGCAGACCAATGACGAAACCCAGCTATCATCGATTGATGAGGAAGTGAGACGCTCTGATCCAAATGTGTACATATTGTTTTGTCTCTTGTTTATAAATTGTTTTTCAAATATAAATCTATGACTGTTTTAGCTTAGCGCCTAATAATAAGGTTTGAGTCATTTCGCCTTGAAATTAGGCTGGGTGTGGGGGGTGCGGGGTGGAGTAATAGGAGGATATTGAAACTACGGCAAAAATGCTCAACTCGCACTTCAAGGAATTGGTTGCTGTTTCTGTCCCATAACTACTGTTCTTTTGATACAACTCAATTTGGACTAAGATCAATTTCAAACCAAAGGAATTCTTGTTTTTGAAGGTGATAGGTATTTATTAATATCAAATGGCAGGCGTTTTGATAGTTATCATTAGCCCTGGAGCTGACTTCGGGGCTTCACAGAGAGGAGGGGGAACAGAAGAGCGATTCACAGATATAAAAGAGAGACGGACGGGCACTAAGTCATTAAAAAGGTAAGATGAGTACTGTGGAGGGGTCGAATATGACAAATAATTGGGTCATATTAGTTTGAAGTCAGAAATCAACTTCCGATCAATAGACTTTTTGCTGTATAAGTATACGTTGCCCAGGGTCAATGCCTTTAAAAACATGTACATGATTGACAAATCGAGAGTTCTGTGTGCATACACATACATCTTGGAGAGACAAATAGTATCAAATTTT